TGGATAATTACAACCACCCCCTCAACTCATCAAATTTAGTGGAATCTTCGAGATTATATGGAATATTATCACTTTTGTACCATTTTATCCCATTCAAACTCTACATTATGAAACAAGATGATCATAATATGTGATTTTTAGCTTGTATATATCAGTTTGTGGTGCATCGGAAACTGTATTTTTTACACAAAAAGAGTACAAACTAGAGCATATTTCACGGAATCTAGATGACTATGTTGAATTTGGCACCATAAAGGTGGAGGTATAAGAAAAAATCATAGTTGAGGGGTAGATGTAATTATCCAAACAAGAGGGGGGTTTTTGTAATTCGAGCATACCTCAGGGGGGGTGTTTGTAATTTACCCAAATTATTTTTATGCATTATTAATTTATATATTATATGGGGCTTCTAAAATTTTCGAATGTGTATTATTTTATAAGTTTAGCAAATTATTAATTTAGCACGTTGACCCCGAGTCGGGACCGAGAAATTTTATTATTTAAGCGAGGTTATTAATTTATCGGGTATTAATTTATCGAGGTTTTAGTGTACGTTGAAACTTAAAACAACCCGCAAGAAAGCAAAATTCATTCCACAAACTAAAAACCACAGTAAAACGTAAAAAATCAATGTGAATATTACAAAGAGTAAACTGCAAAAATACCCATGTATAATCTCCAAATAGCAAACCTCCCGTGATAAATAAACTAGCAAAAACCCCCTGTGAAATTTAGTCAAAGGCAAGCCCCCCCTCCCCCCGGTTGACTTAAAGTTGGCTCACTCGCGGGTTGCGCAACTGGTAGTAGGTTTTTGGACGTGAAATGACAAAATTATCCCTAAAAATGTATTTATATGTATATATATTATATGTATATATATTTTCCTTTTAATTTGATTGTTTAGAAATTAAAATATTGTTAAAAAAAATAGTAAATAATTAAATTTAAAAATTATTAAAAAATTGTCAATCAAATTAAGTATAGATTTTTTTAAATATATAATAACGGAATTTAAATTTTCTTTTGATGTACCGATAATTTAAAAAATATACAAAAACTATGTGACGATAAAAACAAAAATAAATTAAAGACCCCATTGTACCTTTATAATTAAGATATAACAAAAATAAAATAATTAAAATATTTAAAAAATATAAGAATTTATTAATTGCAAAATTCCGGGGGTATTTGTGTCTTTTTATATGAAGTCAACACTCAAATGATAAATGGGCCGGGTGTGCTATTTAAATAATTTCACAAGGGGATTTTTGCTAGTTTATTTATCATAGGGGGTTTTCGCTATTTAGAGATTACACAAGGATACTTTTTGCAGTTTACTCATATTCAAAATAAGATCGTGTGATCAGTGGCGGATTTACTAAGGGGCAGGGGGCCAGCCGCCCCCCAGAAAAAAAATATTCCAACTGTTTTTAATTGCTTTTTGACATACTATTATACAAATATGTGTTTTTGCCCCCCTATTTTTATTTTCTTCTCTATTCTTTTATGTAATTTTAGATATTCTTTATCTATTTGTTATTACAATATAAAATACAACTACTAAAATATATATTTTTACTTCAAAATTATAAATGTATACTTATTTTAGCAATATTTTGTGAATAACCCAAAAAAATTCAGGGGCGCTACCCCTGAAATCCCCAAAATTTTGGATATATTTTTTCCTAAAAAAATCGCCCCCCCTTAAAATACTGTTTGGATCCGCCACTGCGTGTGTTGATTTTGTGAAAAGATCGTGTCTGAATTGATTATCAAATACTCTTTTGCCGTATAGGTTAACATACAAGTTGGGCGAGTTTTACTCATACTTTTTGTTTTTTCTTTGTTGGGTTTTAATATATAAATACATTTTTTTTTTCCGCAGTTATTTGGTGTGCAATTATGAAAGCTGCCGAAAATTATGCGCAATGGACATAGTTTGGATGACAAAATCGCCCTTAGTTTTAAGTTTAAGTTTTGGGAGCAAAACATTTCTTTTATATATAAACATTTTGTATCAATATAATATATAATTTATGATATATATATTACATGAAGGCCCCGTTTGGTTGCCAAGATAAGTCATGATTAACTAAATAGTTGGACTTAATTTGATGTTTGGTATCCCCAATAAATTGCCGGGTCGACCCGCCAAAATTATATAATCATGGCTTATCTTGCCTTCTAATGAGTTTTTTTTGTTGGACGTTGCAAGCTCCAATAAAATAATTGGGTTTCATTAGATTATTTAATCTTATATTGGCTAATCTTATCTTGTCAACCAAACGGGGCCGAAAAATATAAGTATTCAATTATGTCCAAGTCAACTAAGACCTATAATCGTTCTCTTCGTCTTTTTTTTTTTTTTTCATTTGCTACGTTGGCTTTCTCGAATTATTTTGTATTTATGTTGTGTATGAACCATATCTATTCTCTCCTTTTGAGAATTTGCAATAATTATGTAGGCTTTATTGAACTGTTTATGTGGGGAAAAACGGAAGCACATGGTAAATAAGTAATTACAACGAATTAATTATATAGAACAAAAGAACATTTGAAATTCACCGAAAACTCTGGAATCTATCAGGAAATATAAAAAAACTTATATTTTATTTCTATCAGAAAATATAAAAAAACTTATATTTTATTAAAACTTGAAATCCTCCCCAAAATAAAGTCCTAAGGTAGCTTTTTATATTAATAAAATTGAAAACCCTAATTAAACTATGAAAATACTAAAATTTATCAAAAATAGCAAAACGATTTAGAGCCTAATTCTACTAGATCTCGTAATTTTGTGAACAAAGCAATTTACGGAATTCTAATCCGAAATTTCTATGATTTGATATTAATTTTCTAAAATGTTCGTAAAATAGCAAAAACTAACTTGTGGGAGTCTGAATTGTTGGATATATAGCAGAAATGTGTGAACAAGATTAACAAGGAAATAATCGAGAAGTACATATAACTTACATATTTTACTCTTACTAATACATGTTGAATTACAAATATCATCTTACACCTATTTATACTAGTCTAACCATATGAGGTGCATGTATTACATTAAATAAAGGTTCATCATGAATACTAGATATTCATGTATCTAACAATTCATGTATTACCTATTCATGTATCTTATCATACATTTATTTACATGCATATGGATACACTTCTAGAAAGTGCATTAATATGTCAACATAATCTACGTTGGATTGCTGATATCTCATGAGCTTTGCTCATGAGTTTTGTTCCTTGGGCAGTTTCTCTTGAGATGGAGTTCGTTTCGCACTCAAATACAACTTGACTTCCTAAAAAACTCTTCTTTTCGCATAATTTCTTTCCGTATTTCCACCGATGCCCATTAATAATTCTTCTTCGAATTAAATAGTTCTCTTGCAATTCTAATCCAGCTTGACATTCTGCATCATTATGTTTACAGGTGTTTACATTACATTAAACTTTGTTCTGGATTTTAGCATTTTGCTAAAAATTTCCGAAAAAATAGAAAAAAAAATTCTCATTATATTCGAATTTGGAATAAAAAAATATGAATTAATGCAATTTTTGAAATTTCGCTGATTCTGAGGTATTCCGTAAACGTTATGGATTTCAGAATTCCAATTTTTCGGAATGAAAACTTGAATGAGATATTATTACCTTTTGAAAAAATCAATTTTCTTTCAAAAAAGTCATTTCCAGTCCGTTCTATCCGATTTTCACCCCTAAATACCAGATAAAAAGATATTAGTGTCAATCAACTTTTTCGGAAAAAAAGAAAATCCCATTAAAATATTAAGCTAACTCCAAATTTTCCATATCCCATTCAAACTCAAGTAGCACAAGACAGCCAACCATATGCCATAGTCATGTTCAATCATTTTGAATCAATACTACAAAAATAAATATTTAAGTAGTCAAATCCTTGACCGCCACGCAAGCATCTTTTAATATATTCTATTACAATATTTCCAAAACCTATAATATACACATGCGCTAAAACCAACCAACGATCCTTGCCCACACATTTAAACCCTAATTTTCAAAGGCGGGCCCCGCATATGATCAATTTTCCAAACTGATGCAGCCGAGAACATAATTAAAATTATATTAATTTAGCGAAATATTAATTTATCGATTAATTTATATATTAATTAATTACGTGTTAATTTATAAAATTATTATTGTTATTATTATTTTCAATAAATAATTATTTTTTTAATTTTTTTAAATACATATCATTCATTGTAGTATTAATTCAATGTCCAATATAGCTCATTTCTCGAATGGAAACTCTTAAAGTCGCAATGTTAAATAACAATATTATGTTGAGTTATGATAAAAGTTATACCAAAAGGTCTAACCATATTAAGAAAAGTGAGGGACGAGATTGATGGTGATGTGAACTTCAACAAGAAACAAACGACAATTAAATCATATTTTATGAAGTCTTCATAGAATTATAAAATATGTATTGTAATATGTAATTTTAAGAAATATTTTTGTGCATTATTAATTTATATATTATATGGCCTTCTTAAAATTTTCGAATATGTATTATCTTATAAATTTCGTGAATTATTAATTTAGCATGTTATCCCCGAGTCGGAACTGGAAAAAATTATTATTTAAGTGATGGTTATTAATTTATCGAGGTTCTACTGTAATTCATTATCCATACATGTGTGGGATAGTAACATTGAAAAACCACAAACTGACGTGTCACCCAAGAACTTTCTTTTTAATAGAAACTTCTATTCCTCTTCATTTAATTTCCTCCAATCTTCATTTTCCCCCTAATCCCTATCATCCGAAAAAACAAAAATGGAAAAAAATATATCCTATTTTCTCTCCAAACATTCAATCTTCAACCACCTTCCAAGAAACAACCTTTTTTTCTAGATAACATATACAAGTTACCTATATATATACTTATGTATGTCCTATAAATAAGATCATGTGATCAAATTAAATAATTAAACTTGTTAAAGTGCAGAAAAAAAATGGATTATATTAATGGTCATCATCAAAGGGTCCAAAGATTGGTGAAGGGCAACAAGTCGAAGAAGAAGCGCGACAATTCACTCAAAGTGGTGTACATTTCTAGTCCGATGAAGGTTAGGACTAGTGCGTCTAGGTTTCGGTCACTAGTGCAACAACTCACGGGCAAGGATTCGTATGTGGCACAGTACATGGAGTCCGATACCACACGAGCTAGTGATTTTCACGAGATAATTGATTATGAAAATGAAGCGGTGCTAGTAACGAAAGAGGTTGGGAAGAGTGACGAGAATCAAATGATGTCGTCCACTTCTTCTTCGCCTGCGACTTCTTCGGAGTACCCTCTATTGGGATCGACGGACAATTTGTTGATCACTTCTCAAATCGAAGAGTACTTTGGTGGGATTTTATCTTGTAATTTGGATGTGTTGGGAAGCTATCTATATTGATCATGAGTTATATTACACTTTGTGTGTTTGGATAGCTCATTTTATACATGTACTTTTTGGCTCTTTGTAAATATATGAAACCGAGCTTTGTTTTGTTAGTTTTCGTAGTTTAAACTTTAAGATGAGGTGATCATTCCAGTGTTGTACAACACTAAGCATGGGATAGCATCTCGATAATATGAAGTTTTAATTAGGAGAAAAAAAACTCGTGTTTGGTTATTTAATATGTGGAATTATGAATAGGGTACCGATAATTAAGCAAATGTAAGTATATCGTGATGAATGCTGTAATATCAAGTTCCTGCTAGTGACTGTTATAATGATGACGTGGATCACGATGACGAACGAACAAACGACTAGTTTACGAGACCAATGAGATTGACATATGGTATACATAATCTCAGAATCACTTTCTCAAAAGCTTTTGCAAACACAACCTAAAAATGTTCTCTACTAAATCTCACGTTGTGGGCAACTTGTCCAACAGCAGAATTAGATAATAATGATTAATAACTTCAAACAAAACTGCCTAATATCTGTCACAACAACTTATACTGGATTTCTTTTTTCATCGACTACCTACATTTTCACAACATAACACACAACGCAAAAACGATTCTCCGAAGAAGTTCTTTCTCCAAGAAACGACCAATTTACCCCTGACTTCACATATCATTATCGAGTATATCCCGCATCATCTGTATGGGGATGAGCCCTTCGGTTCTGATAGCATCTTTATTCGGGTCTGGACTTATGAAATACAAAGTTGGTAATCCTCGAACCTGTAATAATAATAAACGTTCACGAATTGTTGTTATTTTTGCTCTTGTCGAAACAAAATATTGTTACAAGTCTCGACTTTTCTGATGTAAACTACGGAACAAGAAAAGAAAATGAGAAAAATCACCTGCATATCACGTGCAAATTCGTATTCATCATCTGTGTCGACCTTAACAATCATTGCATTGTTTTCATACTCGACAGCAAGCTGTGGCAAGATAGTAAACATTCAAGTTAAGTGAAGATCATATATATATATATATATATCAGAGCGATAATATATTTTACTAATAAATCGCATATAGGTTAGAAGAAAGCCATTAACCAACATTTCACATACACTAACAGGAAACGAACCACACAACCGCTTGTTCGGGAAAATATAATCGGAGTACAGAATCATTAAAAAGAAGAACAAAAAATCGAGTTGCAGTATACGTCTAGTGTACCGAATTAATGTCATTAAATAATTATATAAATAACGAAAAAATAGCTAAAAGCTAAACAGAATCAACAAGATTCCAAACTCCGGCATAACCATTGCATTATACAATTAAACCTCTTAAAATTAATACAGTCGGGACTAACAAAAATCTATTAATTCAGCAAAATATTAAATTATCAAACTAATAATTTAATACACTTTTATCGAGTTGGGACCGGAAAAAGGTATAAATAGCTATTAGATGTTTTTCTTTAAAGAATTTTTTTCGATGGGTTTCACCAACTCGTCACACGTAATATATACTAACTAACTGCATAATCAAAACAGAACAAGATTTTGACGGGTTTTTGCAAATAAAATCATATGATAATTAACTCCATGTCGAATTTTGAACATACCATTTCGAGTTCTTGTGCCATCAAAATACAAGGGCCACACCATGTGGCGTAGAAATCAATGATCAAAGGCACATTTCTCCCTCCCTTAACCAACTCTTCGACTTCTTTCGCAGATATCTTTTTCTGCGGAAAAAAAAAAATTCGAGCAACAATAGAAAATAATAAACAAACCGACATTGAAAAAACGAGGAGAAAAAAGGGAACACATCATAACCAGAATACGAATCCGTTACACGAGCTAACCACTTCTCGTTGTCTCGACATTCAGTAATCAGAATCAAATGCACCAAATAAACTAAAACACACAAAAAAAAAAAATCTTGCCTTTTTACCATACTACCCTCAGGGTTTTAGGGTTTTACAATACAGTTAAACCTCTATAAATTAATATAGTCGGAACTAGCAAAATTCTATTAATTTATCGAAGTATTAAATTATCCAACTAATATTTAGGTTCTTACCGAGTCGGGACCAGAAAAAAACTATTATTTGAGTGAGGTTATTAATTTATCGAGTATTAATTTATCGAGATTATACTGTACAAGGAAATCAGAAAATTTAAGTGAGGCAAAAATCACAACATATTTCCAGCAACCAAACACCACTAATTCACAAAACCCCAGGAAAAAAGAAAAGAAAAGGAGAAATCAATTTTTAAAAAAAGATGGAATCTTTATTACACATAAAATGCGAATTAAATAAATAAAAATGGTGTGAGATAAATACCACAAGATAGTCGTCGCTGATGTATTTTCCGGCAGGGGGTTTGCAGAGAAGCTTTCTTGACGGCGGCGGAGCTGATAGGATAGAGGGTCTTTGGGTAACGGTGGAGGTGAAAAACAGTGTGTTAGGTTGGTGGGTTTTCAGGGAGAGAGGTGAGGAGTTGAGCGGCGGAGGTGGCGGCGGAGCATTGAATGAAAATATGCAGGTTTGCATTATACTTTTCGCTGCTGCTGCTGCGGCTGAGTTTGCCGGCGGTGGTGGGGAAGAGGTTTTTGAAGATATTGTTTTTGGAAGATGAAAAATTAAAAGATAATTTGATGGCTTGTTATAAGGGTCTGTTTGGCTGCTTGGCTTTCTATATACTATTCTAAACTTGTTATTACCAATTAAATGAATTATTTTTTTCTAATTTTATTTTTTCCAATATCATTTGAAAATTTAAAATTTCATTTAACATTTGCAATTTTCTCTAATGCAATGGAAAAAATAGTGACAAAACGTGAGGAATATAATTTGGAACATCGTAGATATGTGTGAAAATTGGAATGAATAGGATCGAAATTGGACTTTTTTTTAGTAAAAATCAATTTATTTTTTGAAGTGAAAAAATAACTCCAATTCCAATTTTCAGAAATTTTCGAAAATTGAAAACCAAGAATTTGGGTATTTAAATGAAAATACTTGTTTTGGGATTCATACATTGTATATCTTTTTTTTTTAGGAATACGAATTCATTTAAGCGTAAACCGCCAAATTGTTAGGAAGCAAAACATCTTCCGTACAATAAGAAAAGTGCCTCGTGGCAAGTGGGCTAAAACATTACCCTTACGTCTAATGAATGAGAAAATGCAACTAGAAGATATCGAGAAAAAAAGAAACACTAGTCAAGATAAGCTCCATAAGAAGCTTATGACACCTCACCAAGTTTGAGGGCGTTGATAACTTCTAAGCAATCACCTTCGACGACAACGGAGGTCCATCTTTTCAAAACCGCGAATTTTATCGCCTCTAGCACCTGGCTTCATACTCCGTTGGAGATGGGAGACCTGGAAGCTTCATTACTGCCCAAGCAAGACACGAACCGCTATGGTCCCTAGCCACCAAGAAAACCGTGTGGAATGGTTTCCCTTATGGGAGGACCGCATCAACATTAATTTTAATACATCCTCGCCGACGTCTACAGCAGGGAGAGACGAGCCTTATGAGTGGTGGTGAATACTTGTGCCATGGTACTATGGAGCAACGATATCTTTTTATTCATCTATAATATAAAATATATAATGATATTGATTTTATAAAAATACATATTTTTGTGAAAACAATAAAAAAATCAAAATTAAAAACAGATGCTTTATATTCCAATTTCAATCCAAAACAAAAAAAAAAAATTGGAAGGAAAAAAAAACCTCGAATTTTTATTGTTTTAGAATTAATCAAAATATTGTTCCAAAATTCGAAATGTTCGGATCGGAATTAGCTAAAATCAGAGACTTCGTTTCGATTATCATCTCTAATCGTAGATTCAAATATATAGTGAATTAACCGATAAATTTAAATAAATTATTGGAATTTTATTTATTTATTTTTATTTCAATTTTTATTAGAAGATTGGATTTTTTTAATTTTGAATAAAAATAGATTGTGCGCCGTCGAACTATTTCAATCTTCAAGTTTAAATTTCCTTGGCTAAACCCTTCCCATCTCCGACCACCGCCGTCAACCACCGTCCGCCGCCGCCGGAGTCTGCTTCGATTTCTACCTTCAAATTCCAGACCCATCACTCCATTTGCTGCTATGTAAGTTAATACATCTCCTCTTTCTTTGCGCGCAGACACTTGTATGATTTGGGGATTTTTTCTCGTTGACGAATTTTTACTGTGTTTTATTTTCCGTTGATAGATTTGTAGTCAGCTTCACATATCGATGGCAGCAATTTCCGGATCAATTTTGAATTTCTCAGGTTCTCTACCTTCATTTTATCGGTGAATGTATGTAATAATATTTTCTGCAATATTCAACCCTGCATTTGTTTGTATGCTATCTAGGTTTCAAAAGTTCGACTGCTAGTGCAGTTCAATTTAAACCCCCGTTCCCGATTCGGAACGATGATATGTACCGATTCCGTAAATTTCACAGTGGAAATGCATTAGTTTCAACAAGAGTGAGTCGTTGATTTTTTTTTTTTTTTTTTTTTTTTTTTTTTTTTTTTTAATTTCAACTTAGTTTTAAAAAATGTGTTCCGATGTAATTGTTTGTCTTTGACATATCTGCAGATTCCAAATTCCCCGACCCTGTATTTTCGCCGTCGTCGGTGTTCTCGCCCGACACGTGTTTTGTCTGCGGGAAGAAACTATCAGCTAAACCAGAATGACGACTTTTGGACAGAGCCTTTTTGGTTAAACCCGATTCGCGAGGCATTCTGGTACTTTTTAGTTATTAAAAACAGTATCGCAAACGGCAAAATGGATAAATCAAGAAAACTTGGTTTTGTTGAACTTCACGTAGCGAAATGCTGACTCGATAATTTACTTTTTATGTAGGAATACTCGAAGTCTACTTCTTTTTTTAATCGAACAGCCAGGCCAGCTAAAGTATATCGAGTGGCCAAGCTTTCAGAGCACAGTAAGTATTTTTTCCGGGCTTTTCTCACATTATTGCTTCTTTGTGTTATCTTTCATTAGCTTATATTGCTCTTCTATGCGAGATTTCTTTCACATAAAGCCATTCTATAAACAGACACTGTTTCTTTCTCCTTGTGTTATACAAAAATTGTTAGTCCTAAAAGTGGTAGGACGTAATTTTCTGGGTGCGAAGGTGCAGTTTGTGTTGTGAATTTCACCTCGTTCTTCTCGTTCTTCAATTCTTTTGAATTCATTGGATCTTGTTTCACGAGAAATCCCTTTCTTTATTCCACTCTATCATTCAAGATTAAGAAAGACCATTTTAATCATATTTTTTTAGAAGTTCCTATTGAACACTTTGCCTATTTTGAGTATCCTCAAAGGACAAAGTGATTATCTTTATCATAGTATATGCGACGTTGTCGTTCTTGAAATACTGCTTCCTTTTTCGTTGCTTCCCCACTTTGCTTCCACTTTTAATGTAAAAAAAAATGGTGAATTAAGGTTTAAAATTTCAGATGTTTTTAGCAAATCTAGGTATTGAATTCACTGAGAAGATGAAGCCGGTTTATTCTCTTCGTTTGAGAATCGGTGCTTTTCAAGTTTGGATTTGTTCATTTGGAATTTAGGTTATTCTATCTCAACCATTCTTGCTATATTTTTTATGTAACAAGGTTTGATATCAGCCTTTTCTTTTTCATAAATGTTGATTGAATCGATACTTACGACAACACTGCATGCAAAATGTTCTATTAGTAATTAACATCAGATTCATTGTTTGCTAAGCTACTGTTTCCCATTTTCACTGAACAACTACCAATTCGATCAACTGTAAGATGATCATATGCGTCATATACGCGCCATAGTTGTACACCATACTCGAAAGGTAAAATTCTCAGGAATAGCATTGTAGCGAGATAGCATTAGACTTTGTCGTTTCAAATACTGAATGAGCATCATCATTCATTACATTATCTGTCTTTTTTTGTGTATTATTCTATGATATCTTGGGGCAAATCGCAATGGAGTTATGATTTTCTTTTTGTTTTTTTACGAGCCTCAATAACATCGAACTCAAAAGGCATTTATTTGTATTTGTTGCAGCTGAAAACAGCAACGCTGACTCTTGTTCTAGTGGCGATGCTTATTGTTGCACTGTCATCAGTTGATTCAGCCCTGTCCTTTTTACTGGCTTTCTTTCTGAGAAGAAAGGCATGACATCATCACTTCAAATATGATGTTATTTTATGGTACGTGACGAACAAAGATATCGATTGTAAGCATAATTTGTATCGTTCCATCGATTTATAAAATAGGGAGCAGCAGTTTGACTATAAGAGGAGAAGTAACTTATCAATGAAGTTATTTTAGAGAGAGAGAGAGAGGTGTTTTCTTCATAATCCATGAAGCTATCTCCATTGCAATTATCCACGCGGTCTCTAATACGAGAGTTCAATCGGTAACATAATAGAAAAAAAGTTTCGATCCGAACTTTACTAGATACCGGATTTTGCAGACGCAAATTCTAAGTGGTAAAATAACAATAAAACCTATTACAAACTATCGCAGTTAGTGTCGCGACACTCTTCCTCGTACTAAATGAGGGTGCATGTCGAAGACTAACTGGGCAAGAGAGGCAAGCAACCAAAACACGAATGAAAATTTAGGTCACTCATCTAAATCACAAACAATATTAATACAAGACTTCATTTTTTTTCCTTACAACAAATGAAACAATCATAACAACATCAATTGTGTTAGCATATCTAATATATGTCGACACCAGCTACGAACGACTTCATCGAATTCGTCTCGAAACAACAATATATACAAACAATTGCAATAACAAAACAAGAACAACTAAACGAAAACAAAAAAAATAAAATTATCGAGACAAAGCCTCAAACCTGGCACTCCTGGCATCGAGAACTTTCAAAAGCGCCGCCGCTTTACTCTTCCCCTTATCGGTTCCGGTTTCGACAATATCAAGAATCCCATCGATAACCCTATTCTCCAACTTCCCCCTAACATCAACCGCCACCGCTTCTCCGCCGCACTGCACGAGATTCAAGAGAGCCGAGGCGGCATTCTCTTTGGTCCTCGAGCTCGAACCCGTGGCATTGTCGAGCAAATCCATCAAGACCTCGACCCCCAACGCTTTCTTGAAAATCTCCCAGCTCTCCTCGCATCCGGCGATCTGCGCGATCACGGCCGTGGCGTCCTCGACGAGGCCCACCCGGCCGTCTTTCACGACGAGGGAGAAGAGGGCCTGAACCGCCCCGAGCTCCACCATTTGGGCCCGGTTCAGCGGGTACAGCGCCACCCCGAAGAGTGCCCTGAGGGCGTCCTTGATTGACCGGGCGGCGGAGCTCGGGGATCTGACGATCTCGAGGAGGCCGAAGATGATGTCGCGCTTGTGGCCGATGATGGGGCGGAAGGACTCGACGCTGAGGAGGCTGAAGATGGTGGCGGCGGCGCACTGGCCGGAGAAGGGGGAGGCGGGGTGGCGGAGGGCGTGGGAGAGGGCGTCGAGGACGCCGTGGGAGGACATGAGGTGGTCCTTGGAGGAGATTGAGAGGTTGAGGAGGGTGGCGGTGGCGTTCTCCTGGAGGAGGGCGGTGGGGGAGTAGAGGGATTCGGCGATTAGAGGGACGGCGTTGGCCTCCGCGATCAAGGGGCGGCTCTCGTCGTCGTTCTTGGAGAGGAGGCGGAGCTCGCAGAGTGCGTCTGTCCGGGTTTGCTCCGACACGGAGGTCAGCTTTGATACTAGGGTTTTGACCGTTCTCCGCTTCACGGCGTCCATTGTTGATGAATTGTAACAAATTCAATTCAGAGCTTCATATCAATGGGGTTTGTTTTAATCGAATTCTTGATTTCAGAGAAATACCATTTGGTGAATTGGGTTGTTGACTTTTGAGACAAGTCTTCATCTAACCTCGTTTTTTTTTTTTTTTTTTTTTTTCTTATAAATTATAGTTAATGTGGGAAGAATGAGTATTTGCCTATGGGGTTTGGTCCAAGTTGGTGTATTTTAATTATTATAAAATAAAATAAAATTGGTGTATTTTAGTATTTTATTATTTTCTTGTGGGTTTTAACTTAACTTTTATTACCATTTTCCTTTTACTATGTGGATGAACAATAATTACACACGTTATTAATTTAGTGTATCCTTAAAATTGTCTATACTTAACATTTTAAATGTTGGGCTCATTTGAGATGCCTCTAGAGATCCAACAAACAGGAGAAAAGCTGAAGCTGAAATCATCCTTAAGGAAATTATTATAGTACTGTCTAACTGCATTCAACATTTTCACCATCTGTATTTATCAGTTTTTAGCATATATTTACCATTTTCACTGTTATTTCTCTTTACCTCGAAGTTATGGTCGAAAAATTATGTATATGGACCAATATCGTTGATTATATACAAAAGAACTCAGCCACCGCAACAATAAAAATCACAATTTAAATGTTTACATTATAATTCAACTCGTAACCAACAAAATACGGGTCAAAAAATACAGAATCGCATGCATATGTTACTATAGTCAATTATTACTTAAAATACAAATGTCAGAATCGTCAAATTCATCTACAACTTCAACCAAACTTTTCACACTTTTTAAAAATGAAGATCAATGACTTTTATTAAGCTTCGATTGCAAAATCAAAGATAAACAAAAAATTGGTAATTTAATAGTTTCATTGTGGGCATCATGTCTATTGTGTGAAAATGGAATAATAGGGTGAGCCGTAGCTTTAGGCCGGATAACATTAAAATAAAAAAAAGCAGAAGGTTTATGTCAATCTCAATTCTCAATCCTTTTTATTTCAATTTGTTAACTTGTTTGGTATGTTTATCAATTGTAGAAAGGGATTAGGTTTCAATTTATATTTATTTTTTAATTATTAATCATTAATTTTCCTTTTTTTTTTTTCTTTTTTCTTTTGTTTGGTGTTGTTTGGGGGGTCAATGACGAGTTTGTTTTTACAAGTTATAGATTTTAAATGTACAAAAGTCAAAAGGGTTTATCTAAACAAATATGCTTGTGGTCTAATAATTGTAGTGGCTAAGTACAATCGGTTGGAAAGTTGTGTTTTCACCCAATTTTGATTAATTTTTTTAAGTGGAATTAGTTTAGTATATATATATATATATAGATATTAATTAGTACATAAACACGAACCCAACTATTAAAATAGTGTTTGCAAAAGTTTTTACAAATAGATTCTGAGCTTTTTTTGACACATACTTTGTTTTCAATGTTTGCAAAACAAGTTTTTGCTTTTATATCTCTTAAAATAAGTTGTTTTAAAGCTATATTTTGAAAGCACCCATATACCTGTTTTTCTATTTAAGTTGATTTTCCAACTAATTTGCAAACATCTAAAAATTGTAGAAATAAGCACTTATTACAGCTTAATTCATAATCAATAACTTATGTGCAAACACCAAATTGGCCTGGTGGTTGGATTGAAAAAAGGAGTCTCCAAGACTCCAATACAAATATCCACTAGAACACCAAATTGGTCTTCTTAATGTATTTGTGGACTATTAACAAATAAAAAATGGATTCTAATAATAATAATAATAATAATGGAAACTTTTATAAAATTCCCCTTTACACTATTAAGTTTGACAAACTCAATTGCTTTTACTTTATCAAAGAAAATCACTTTTTGTAACTCCACATTGAACATTTCTTCCCATTCTATTAGGGTATACACCATGGAGAGGCATTAATTCATCACAAATCTCCAATTACAATTAGTCATATATATAGTTAATATAATACTTTGTTTTCATTTAATTTCATTTCCCCACTACTTAAGTTATAAGTAGCAGGGATTATAACGATATCGATACAGATACAGATATAGATACACAACCACGACGAATACTATATATATATGACATCACGTCGGTTTCTTCCAATTATTATCTTGAACGGACGCTTTGGCGAAAAGCTTAGCAATTTGAAGCTGAGTATTGGCAATGATCTCAGTTCTCTTGAGTTCCATTTCACCCCTCTTGGCTTCGGCCTCGATTCTCATTCTCTCGATCTCTCTCATTGTCTCCATTCGCGCTTGTTCCGATCTCACCATCACTTCCGCGAACCATCGAATGCTCTCTCCGACTTCCCAATTATAATCTTCCCTTTTCCGCTTCTTATTATTTGACTTGGCATAATCCTTGTTGCTCTTTATAGGGACTTTTTTGTTCGGTTTTTCTCTTTCGGTGTAGATTGCGGGTGTGCTGCTGTCTGTGTCGTCTATTATCGGATTTTTTTCGGGTTCTTGATTGGTTAATTTTGGGCCATTGTTAGTGCCATCTCCTTTTCCCTGCAATATGCACCATTAGGCCTTTATATTCAAGCTGAAAAAAAGAAAAAAAAAAAAAAAAAAAAAAAAAAGCAAGAGCCCTACTTGATTTGTTAATTAGAATCTTAACTTATAACTTTAAAAAATAAATTGTCCCGTCTAAATTCAAATCTACATATAAAATATTAAACTAGCAAATGTATATTTAATTGTATTGGAGTAACAAATTAAGATTTTATAGTACTAGTATCGAGTGTGTTTTTTTCTTTCTTTTTTTATAACCTATATTTCTGAGCTTCACCCAACTAATTTATATCATGGTAGATATACGTACAATTATGTACGTAAAGATAAATACAATGTAAAACGTGTATTATATAATACTCATAAATTTCATTGTGTAATTTCACTATACTAGAAAGGCGAAATCCCTCACCCTATCACCCATATCCCTTGGCCCGATAAATATTTGATAAAAAGATATATATAAATAATTTCACTATGCTAAACACATATACACACACAAGTGTGTTATTGCGTATAAATCAAAGGTTCAAGATTACTGGTGTATTTGACCGAGTATAGGATTTATAAGGGTGTTTGGCTAAGCTTATAAGATGTTAAATGAAGCTTATAAGATGTTTTAGAGCTTATAAGCTCTTCCAAAGTGTTTGGTAAATTTAAAAAAAAAGATCTTAATTTTTTTTTTTTTAAATAAGCTGTTGGAGACCAATTAAGATCTTTTTAAATAAGTACCTCTACCCCACCTTTTTATTTAAGATCTTATAATGAGTAAAAATAGGAAATAAACTCATTATCCAAACACTCTAAAAATTAATCATTAAAATAAGATATAACTATCAGCTCTAAAATCATCTTATTAGACGTAAGAGCTTATCAGCTATTTAAAATAAGTTTAGCCAAACACCCTCTTAATTTAATTAGGATGTCAATTTATTGAAGTCATTAGTCAACTCTTTTCCAAAAAAAAAAAAAGAAAAGTCATTAGTTCCCTCGCCAAAATTCATATAATTACAATTCTACCCCTGCACGCAACCCTGATAAAAAAGTTAATAAAATCCACTAACCTTAGCCAACCGATCACCACCACCAACATCCGAACCACGCGAGTTCTGCTTAACACTTCCCATCTCCACCGCCACCAAAGGAACCGCCGCCACCGCCGTAGACGGCGGCGGCGGAATCTCCACCGGTGGTGGCTCCACCACCAAAACAGGAGGAGGTCCATTATTATTAATCCCGCGGAGAAGAAGGTCCATGCGAGAGTAAAGCGGCCACGAAGAAGCCGCCGCCGCCGCGTCAGCGGCGGCGGCGGCGGCGGCGGACTCCGAGCGGTACCTCTTCTTCATGGACTCAATCTTGTTCTTGCACTGCGTCTGCGTCTTGGCCGACTTATTATTACCACCACCACCGCCGTCGCCGCCCCTGCAAGAAACATGCTTTGCCACGTCATCCCAATCCTGCCCCTTCAGCTTCGCCCTATTTCTGAGCGTCCATTTAGCCTCGTAAGCCTCCAGTAATGACGAAACTGCCCCTTCACTCCATTCATCTCTCTTCAACCTGTCGTTTGTTGCAGCAGCAGTATTATTATTATTAGTTGCAACTGTAATTATATGTTTTCTTGGGGACTGATCTGTAAATATTATTTCTTTAGGGTTTTGATATGAGGGGGGGAGAGATGGTGGTGGTTGTGGTGGGGTTTCTTGATTTTTGTGATTATGATGATCATGATTATGATCTCTCTCCATCTTTCTCTCTCTCTCTCTCTCTCCCTATATCTCTCTCCCTATATCTCTCTCTCTCTCCTTGACATTTTTTTATACTACACTCTTTTTAGCTGCTAACATGGTAATGAAATATGAAGGGGTTAAAACATAAGTGGTAATAGGGGGACAATGGAGGAGCCACTAGCATTTTTGGGCTATAAGTTTAGACTTTAGAGTGAGAAAAAGGTGAGTATAAATTAGTGGATTATTATTTAGAAAAAAAAAAAAAAAAGATGGAGAAAATATATAGCCACTAGCTACCTTTGTGTAGATGCTATACTACTACTTAACAATTGGAAAAAAAAGAAAAAAAAAAAAAAAGATAAATTTATAAAGCAATTATAAGTAGTATCTATGCCACCATAGGTTGTGGAAATTAATGGTTTTGATTAATGTATCTTATAATTGGAAATCATGATAAGAATTTATATTGTTCTACATATATTCCATTTAGATGTTATATGAAGTTCTAACGCGCATTTTCGAACGGTTTTTTTGTCGTCGGAAAAGAAAAAATTATATTCGTAACGGATATATTTGTTAGAAAATGACTTTCTCTTTTAGTGTAGTGGGCATGGAAAGATCATTTAATTTGAAGTCACGTTTTGATCAAGCTCAATGGTTAAAGACTTAATTGGATTTGACTCCATGATGAAATAAAGTTGGAATATACTTTAGTACAGAGTTTTACTTTGCACCTCTGAATTGTGGAAATTATGGGGCGTGTTGTATACACATTCTTGAATTACGAAACGTACTAAATATTTCCCTATATTTTCTGGTCAAACTTACAAAAATATAAAGACATTAGTTTTGTAATGTTTTCTTGTGCAATTACAATTTTACCCCACATGTAATCTATGATAAATATATGTGAATTTTAGTACTTGGAAATATTTCAGCCAAAATAAGATATACTACGTCAGCCGTGTGTCTCTTTCATTGTTTCTCCATCATAACTCATTTCGCAAAAGAATACTTGGATGATTTTTTAAGCAATTGTTTAGCTTATAATATTTTATTAACTCGAGCATATTTTTTTAGGTTATAATCGCATATTATTTTTTAAAATCCATCATGTAGGTCTGTTTAAAGAGTTTGAATATGTTGGGGGTTTGACTTACATTGAGAGAGATGTTTACCCTGATTCGATGTCCTATTTTGAGATAATTGGTTTAATTAAATAAATTGGGTATCCAGTTACTAATGTGGTTTGTTTAGGATTCCCATATGAAATTTAGCTCATGATGACAACTAGAGTTGAACATTATAGTAAAATTAAAAAGAGAAAAATGAGCAAGAAAGAACTAATTTCAAATAAAAAAAAAAAGGGTGGAAAATAAAGGTAAAATAATGAGGCACATAAAAGGTTTCAACCCTTACACAATATATATAGCCACCAGAAGGGTAAAAAGTTTAAAAAAAGGTGAAGGCTATAGTAAATATTGGTAATAAGAGAGTTGGCAGGTGACATCAGCATATTTAAACGAAATGAAAACGATGAGGGGTACTTGGTACATTTTGTAATTAAGGGGTGCATTTGCGACACCCCCCTAACTCAGGGGTGCAAAGTGAACTTTGCACTATAATTTATTACATTATGTGATTGTTTTTTTTTTATTGAATTGAATATACGTGCGAGAGTATCAACTCCGACCTTAACTCAACTCGACAAGAATGAGCACTACCTAGCATTTCTCTTTCGTTAAGATTAGTCTAAGGTTCAAATTATGTTCTTTCCCTACTTAAAAAAAAAATCATGTCCATTCCCTCTACCATTTGTTCCAAATAAATTTCAAAAAATGAATAAAAATGAAAAATAAGAATAAAAAGAAATAAAGAGTTATCTAATAGGATTTGATTCATTTACATTCATGTCATTATACACTAAATATAATAAAGCAAAATAAAATTTTAAAAAAATTACTACATGTTCTAAAAGAAAAGAAAAATAAGATTTTGGAAAAAAGTGGAAATCATCTAAAGTGGGTGGTGGCAAATGAAAGAACAAGACTATAGGTGATCTAGTCAAATGATGTAATAATATCACTCCTAACCTTTTTTTTAGTGTCATCTTTTTGTGAGTATATGTGTTGGTTTAGTGTAATAGTGAGAGTGTGAATTTGTGGAATTTGGCAGTATGCTAGCGTTGATATCAAGCCAACCATGACATCCACCCACCCATCCATGGTGGTGGTGGTGGTGGTGGCCGCCATTCACGTGGTGTTGTCACCCCACCCCACCCCCCACCCCCCACCCCCCCCCCTCCCCCCACCCCCCCAAGCCAATAGGAAAACCCCTCAATTATTTAGCTACCCTTTTTCAAGTATTTTTTTCCTTTTTCCTTGTATTTGGTGACCTTTCATCTATGTGGGGGATTAAAAACTAGCATATTTTTTCTAAGGAAAAAAAGTGTCTTTTGTATATAGGCATTCAATCTTAGGAAATCTTTCTTTTCCTAGATACTTTCTTTTATTTTATATATGGCACCTTGCTCTAAATTATATATGATTATAATCTCTTGTGTGTAAAATATGCAACTTGACATCAATGTTCCACTTAGTTTTATTGAGTTCATATTTTGGTCTAATTTATGCTATTTTCGGATCGAAATCGGCAGAAATCTCGGATTTTTTTTTTTTTATGTTTATTTACCTATAATATAAATACATAGTAATACTTATATTATAATTGTGGTTTTTGAAAATAAAAATTGAAATTGTTGAAAATTAAAATCGAATTGAAATTTGGAATCCCATATACATTCTTTCAGATCCAACAAAAATCGAAAAAGTTGAAAATTAAATTTTTCGAAATTCAAAATGAAGAATTTTGTTGCACAATCGACAAAATTTTGGTTCATGATTGAGCTATATAACACTGACACGGAAACGGTGATACGAGAAAACGGAGAAACACACCCGGGATGACGGGATTTTCCAAAAATAATAGGGATACAAGAGTTTGGGGGAAACGTGTAAATATTAAAATCATATGGCTATATTTATAAATATTTTTATGCTACATAAACATATATAAGCTTTTATTTATATATAAATTATTTTTATATATTTTCATAAACGTATTCAAAATAAATTTTACCATCAGTTTGCAATTGATCATTAAACCGTGTAAATAATTAGGGAAGTAACAACAATATTTGAACATTTGCCATTCAATTATTCAAACACGTTTCTAACTATTTAGAAATTTCAAAATACCCCCTAAGGTGTCCAGCATGTGTCGGACAGGTAACGTGTCTGAAATACGGAAACTTTAAGAAACTGAAGTTTTCGTGGTACTTATAGTTAATTAGAGATTGTAGTTAATTGAAGAGCATTCTCAACTTCCATGGACCAGAACCAACAGTGGGCTGAAAAATGGCTACATCATACCTTACAACATCAAAATTTTGGACTATATATATATAACATGACTTATGTTGGGAGTTTCTCTTATAGCCCAATCTGGATTATCAACTTCTAGAGATATATCCCATCCCAAATAAAAGTCTTTTGGCAATCTTTTATCTACTTTCCTTAACAAATCTTTTAAATAAGTGAGGCGAAGAGATTCTAATCAAAGCGGTTATACATGCTATTCTCTCGTATGCAATGGGTTGCTTTAAACTCGTGAAATATTTTGCCAAGGAAATCGAGCAATTAATTTCCTAATTTTGGTGGGAAGATAGTAATGGACGATGCATCCATTGGACATGCGAGTTAGTGAGCTAATAATTGATGGAGAAACAAGCTATTGGAATAATGTTCTAAATAGATAGAGTTTGTTAGAAGAAGATTGGCGGCTTGTTACGTTCATTCCTTTGAGGAAATCGAGAAATGAAGTATACAAATCTGGAACTATAATCAAAATAGGCGGTTCTCTGTCCGAAGTGCTTATCACTTCGCACACCGATTAGGGGAGGAGGTTATAAACTCAAAGGCTAGTAGCTCTTCCAGAGGTGAATAAAATATCTGAAAGTGGTTATGCACTATAAACCTTCCAAGTAAAATCAAAATATTTAGATGGCGCACATGCAACTTCTTCCTACTCAAGCAAATATAATGAAAAAAGGATCGCGGCGGATGACCTACGCATTTATTGTGGAAACAAAGCGGATGGCATATCCCATTGCCTTGCACGATGCTCTTTCTCATGACATGTTTGGGCGAAAAGCAATGTCCCCTGGACAATTAATAAATGAGATGGAGAAATTTTGTTGGACATGATTTTACGCATAAAAAAGTCGACTGAAGCGAGAGAATTTGAGGAATGTTTGTTAATCTGTTGTGCATTATGGTTCTCTCGCAACAAAAATATTTTTGAAGGGCAACCAAGGAAAGATGTGGAAGTAATCCTTTTCGTGTAACAATTATGTCAACCATCTGCTAGGATCCTAAATGTAAACGTAGGAGGTGCAGCTCTTTTGAATCAATATCTTATAGCTCGCTACCTACCACCTCCATCGTCTCTTGCGTGCTCGAACGAGCTGGCGAAATTGTTGCTCGAACATCCCAGAGACGTTGTTTAGCGAACTTGGTACACAAGCTTTCTTTCGGCGAGCTTTTAAAGGAGGTCATATCTTTGATGCACATTAGGTCGGTTGGTCCGATAAATCTCTCTCCACCCATACACTTTGTCCTTACTATATTAAATAAGCCCAATATTAAAAAATTTAGCCCAACTTTACGAAAGTGACCCCATCAATAGGTAGCATAACCCCAAAACTATGACCTTGATCGATCACATAATTTTGGTACACATTTATCATGACCAACTATTCTTCTGGTGGTCAACAGAAAAGATTGTGAATCGAGTACTAAGATCTTGATCATATGAAGTCTGAAGAAGAGTAAAAAGTAACTTTATGTGTGAGAGTGACACAAGATTTACGAATTCAAAAGCATCCAACAACAGAGTAATAATCAGCACGCAAAAGCTGTCAGAAAACTGATGAAAATATCACCAACTTCAGACAAAACTAATCCAAACAACCAAACCCGTGACAATTTCCAATTCTAATTTTGGCAACACTGCCCTCACGTTGTTTTTTTTTTTTTGTTTTGTTTTTTGGCCACTGTCGGCATAGAAATTAATTAATCCAAACGAAAACACAAACTAATTAATTAATTCACTTGTTGCGCGTGTCTCTAGCTGCACGCCTCACGCGCCACCCCGAGCCTGGAGTTCGGCACGTCGATGAGTATGCGGTGGTTCTGCTGCTGGAAGCTTGCGATCACGTTCAGGACGGAGTTCACGTTCCCGTCGGGCGCGGCCGCCATCGCCAGGCACGACGTGGTCCCGGCGCTGCTCCGGATGACGAAGTTGTCCTGGGGCAGCGTCACGTTCATGCCAGCGAACATGAACGTCACGGTGGGGACGCTGATCGGCGCGCCCGCGTAGCACGTGTCGAACCCGCCGAGCGACGACACCGTGGCGTTCCCCATCCTCCGGCGCACCTCGTCCCTCACGGCGACATACGCCGGCCTCACGAGGCTCGTGAACACCGTCCCGGAGTCGAACACCGTCCCGGCCCCGGAGACGGGGTCGTACGCGAACGCGGAAGGCGGGATGGCCACCACCCTCCGCCCGACCCTAATGGCGACGAGGTTCACGTAGTAGAGAGACGATCGCCTCGGGTTCCTGAGGAGCGGAGTCGTCTTGATTCTGATTGGCTGGCTGTGTGGGCCCAGCCTCAGGTTGCCGGTGAAGTTGACGGACTTGTAGCTGGGCAGGCAGTACGAGAATGTTGACTGGTAGAGGCTCACGCTCTGTGAAAGTAGCGATAGCGGGCCGCGGCCCAAGCCGAGCAAACCCTGAGCCGGGAAGGATGAGCCGGTGGTTGTGCGGACGCAGCCGAATGTGTAGCCGTGGACGGAGTCGGCTGCGAGTGTGATGTTGTCCTGCGCCAAGGTGGCGGATATGGCTGAGCTGCCGTATGTCACGTTGAAGCCGCAGGCGGCGCCACCGCAGCTCGGGTTGGGTACCTGAGCATTGGATTCTGATTTAAGTCACGTGATTTCTAAACATGATCACGTGTGTTTTCTTTGTAATTTTTTTATTTTATTCCTTTGAAAAGAAAAATCTAGATTCATATTCACAAGGGATTAGTTATGTTGTTTTTTTGTATAATGGATTTATTAGTCTATTACAAATTAGTCAATTAGTCAAATTAAGGGTAAATTACGAAAAAACCACGGACTTCAACTAAAAAATGAAAAACACCATCACCTATTAGCAATTACCAAAAACCCCCTAAGATTTGTTTCCGTTGCGACTTTTCATGATTTTTTTTAATTTCAGGGAATAGACTTTATACAATTTCAGATATTTTCTTCTTATTTCTCACCTATTTAATAGAAGGTATAATAAACTGTACACACTTTCTGTTATAAAATCCGATCAACAGTTAATCTGAGGGGATTAATAGATTGTACACTACAGATAAGCGAGGGTGTTTTTCGTTATTTAACTTAAGTTCAGGGTGTTTTTCGTAATTTACCCTCAAATTCAGGGGTTTTTTCGTAATTTACCCTCAAATTAATTACTAATTAGCAGTGAAGTGGAAGATTAATGTAGTCAGTGTTCACGGGCCACTCTATTATCCTTACAAGAATGATAGCACATAAACAGAACAAACAATAACAGCTGTCAAAATCCAACAGACACTACACCACCAGAACTGGTGGCGCGTAGGCGCGTGACAAGAAAAATAGAACATCGGAAAGATGAAATATTAAATATATAAAATATGTTACCTGGTTGCATTGTGGAGCGCCGCAGGGTAGGGGTTTGAAGGAGGAAGACTTGGCGTAGTTAAAGGTGGCGGAGGAGCAGCCGACGCAGCCGGAGCAGGGGATCCAGGCGGCGTCGTTGCTGGTGTCGACGGCGACGAACAATGTCTGAGCAGGTGTGCCGATCTTGGCCCTGACAACGTAGGTGGGGTTCTGGGTAACCGCCCTGCCGGAGGCTATCGGCACGACGGAGCGGCCGGCGACGAGGCTGGACAGGTACTGCAGCCTGGATTTGTCGTTCGACTGCATTTGCAGCACGGAGTCCTCCCATGAGAGCGCCGCCGCCGCCGCCGCGGTTTTGAACGGGGAGCAGGGGCTGTTGACGTGGAGGACTTGGAGGTTTGAGCCGTGGTCTGTTACGTCACAGCTCGGTGACTGTAGCAAACCCTGTGCTGGTGAGAAGAAGAGAATTGCTAGTGAGAAGAAAAGTGCATTCATCATTGAATCAGGGTTGGGTGGGGGGTGGGGTGGGTGGGGGGGGTGAGGGGTGGGTTAGTGTAGTGAGGGTGATCAGTGGGTTGGTATTTATAGGTGGGAATGTACTTGTTCAGTGTGTGATTGTGTGTTGGGGGTAGGAATGTAAATGTACATTACGGACACTTTATTATATGTATTATTATTTATTTAATTAATTAATACAATGGTGAATGTAATAAATTTGTAATGAAAAATAGATTGGTACATGCTTTGAGGGTTTGAGCAGAAGTAATTAGTTTGAAGAAACTGAATTGGACTCGAGGATATATTAGTGTGTATATATATATATTGTTAAGTAGATTGTAATAAATATATATACATTCCATGGCTAACCTATAGGATTTTCCTCTCTAAGTATTTGAAATTCAATATAATATAATAAAGAAATAAACATATTGCAAAAAAAAAAAAAAAACAATAATAATAATATAAAAATAAACAATATAATTACATCTTTTTTTATGGAAGTGGATTTGGCAAATTGAACCGGATCACCAAAGAAGGTCAGATCCAGTTCGACGGTCCATCGCGCAATGAACATAAAAGGGACGGGTTTGAAAGAAGTTATGTCTAGAAGGTTATTTGATTAAAGACACGCTACTCAAGGATACACAAAGAATAAACAGTCCTCGTAAGACCAATCTCATAACTTAAGAGCAACCCATAAACTACGAATTTCGAATATGGAGGATTTTGATTTCGTTATTAAAAAAAAAAATAGATATCCCATAACTAAAGAAAAAGGAGAGACCTACCAATGGTGGGCTCGTGAAATCCTAATTCTATATATACATTTTCGGTACAAGAGATTTTCGGGCACGTTTTCTTATAGTAATTATCTCCCAAAAATCTCAACTCCATTAAAAAATTCTTTTTTTAGGACCTTCTCCGATAAACGAAGGAGATAGTTATTGAAGGAAACTTGACCGCATACTAAATTACGTGATCATTTTAATATATTATATATACAAAATTCATAATAACGTTATCTTATTTCTTGGAAAAAGATTGTGACTTCATAGATAACAAAACTGATTTCACTAAAGTATCTCTATCAGAAGTAGACAATGAATTACGTACTTGGATCAAAACATAACATCAAACTATGTTGTCTCAAATTGTGAGGAAATAGAAGATTAAGTAGATTTTTAATAAAATTTCAATCTAGTCCCCACAATTTATAAAATATAAAAAAAAACTTATTTGTATTAATATATTCTTTTTTTATCTCGAATTAAGAGCGTCAAATCAAGAATGTGCACACAAGCCTCCACGCAAGACGATTACTTTTCTGAACACTTGATGAATCTTATTACACCGGGTGAATATTTATCGTTGATCTACACACACCCACGTAGATGTGTGTATACATAAATAGTAACGATTTATTAAGACCCCGTTTGGTTGCCAAGATAAACCATGATTAATTAGATAGTTGAACTTAATTTGATGTTTGGTATCCCCAATAAATTGCCGAGTCGACCCGCCAAAATTATGTAATCATAGTTTATCTTGACTTATCTTGCATTCTAATGAGTTTTTTTTTGTTGGATGTTGCAAGCTTCAATAAAATAATTGGGTTTCATTAGATTATTTAATCTTATCTTGACAAATTTTATCTTGCCAACCAAACGGGGCCTAAGTGTACTTCATCCGGTATAGCATAGTATAGACCACACGAGCCTTACTCAAAATTTCGTGGATTTGACACGTTGTTGTTCTTACTTTTGGATATAGGGAGCTAAATCCTTTAGCCGATATTTTCGAAAAAATGAGGGCATCTGCAAATTAATATCAAGTCTACACTCAGTTCCGATTGTGCCCAAATTTCTCTAA